TATATTGATTTACAATCAATCAATATCGAAGAAACGAAGCAGATCGCCAACGAATTAGAAAACCAGAAAATCCATCTTCAAGAATTGACAACGCCCCTAGAAGTGACCCGCGTCAATTTATGGACATTAATTATATATATAATCATTATTATTGCTTGCGTTTACGCTATATACAAAACTGTTATAGAAAAACGCTCAAAAACACATACTTTCGAGCCCATCATAATTGTATAATTTAAATATATCTATAAAACCACACCCTGTGGGTATGTTTTTAGCTAAGGGCGGAGGAGTTACATTCTTGCAACTTAAATTGTAAGCAATAATTAATTAAACACTAAGCAAAGATAAGAACATGTACCGAGGTTACAATTGCAACCTCGAAACAAAGCGAAACCAGTTCATTTGTATCCTGCTTCTAATAAAGACCTTTTTTAAAAAGGCTTTTTGTATTGACCCACACGTAAATAGTATAATAAACTTTGATGTGAAATATAGAACACGAAATAAGCAATGATTCATACAGGATTTCTTGCACTTTTATTTTGTTGCCCGACGTGATATTCAGGTGATATTTAGCTCATTTCACACAAGTCTTTTAAAGACCACCGAAGTATACGACCGTACGGAGGTGAAAAATCCCACGTGATGTTTTGGTTTGACAAAAAGTCAGTGCAAGTAGATCTTCAGGTTATCTGTGCAAAGACATTCCGTATTGCCCTCTCTCTTCCGACATAGTTTATGCCATTTTCTGTGTACACGTGGCTTCAAATACTTCTATTTGAAACTGAAACTAAAACTACCTGAAAAAAATCGATCCCGCTTGCTTGAAAAGAACGCTGATTAACGCTGAACGCTATTACTGACCCGGTTTTGCAATATAATTTTCCAATAAACATTTAACATTTCCCGGCTTCACTCGAAAACATGCGATGTAAGAGCCCAACATTTTTTGAGCTTTGTTTAAAAACGCAAAAAGTTAATTTGTACTGCAGCGATGGTAGTTTCAGCATGTAGGTGCGAATGTGTTTGGTAAAGTGTCCGGAACTTAGCAATAAGATGGAAAGCTAATGGTTAAATATACTATTAGATAATTCCTGACTTGAATCAAATCAAAGTCACCTAAAAAGGGCTATAATTTTAATAATGGTCTTATATATAGGATGAATAATGGCTTGAGACTTTGGTCGTCGGTCGAAAATGAATTCGCCTGCACTACTTTGCAAATGGAGGCAACAGCGCCAGTGAGTTCTTCCTTTAAGAAAGGACCGGTAAATGTGGCATTATATTTTAACTGCCTTACTCTACGATTGCGCAATAAGCTGTAACTCTTGAGATGGGGTAATGGGGAACATTGATTAATGAATTACAAATCTGTTGAACCTTTAACAATGACAGATACGTCAGACAGGAATGTCAACTATTTCCTATCCCCGCTCTAGACACGTAAGATATGGGCCACCCGGTGTACTCATGCTGACCAACCGCCAGCCCACGTTTCTGCTGAGAATGAACTGGTGAATTTAAGCAATTGGCAGGCCATTCCTAAGTTTGGTTAGGATGCAGTTTAAGCACAGACTAATAAGAACAAATGTAATAATTAAAATGCATTATTTAAAAAGAACCTTCGAGAATTATCATTATTAAATGGTGCAGTCGGCGTATTTCTAAAAACACCATAATCGCTAAGTCGTTTTTCGATTCATCTATTAATTGGCGATCGGAACAGTTCAACATGTGTGCTAGCGAAATCGTGACTTGTATGCCCGAAAATTCTCTTGACCTTAACAAAATCACTAGATTACTCTTGTTTATTACCAACGATAATGGAACTGCAATTTGTTAACCTCTATTAATGACTTATCTCCATAACCATAGTCGCTCGTACGAGGGCGGACGAATTAACAGATCTCCAACCATCAGAAACACTTTTGTATTATCGTACCATCGTATAAACGGATGCATGGGACACATGATTAAGAATTATTGTGCAGTTCTCCAATAACAATAGTCTTTCAGATCAGCGAAAATTTGCTTAGTTGCTGCGATTCAGCATTGTGAGATATTTGAGTGTTGCATTTTAAAATGCCGGCTATTTGAAACAAAATCAGAATAAATGAGAAGCAAATTCTCCATTAAAATTAAGTGTAAACTTTATCAACCAGTGAGGATTCGAGTATTTACTTATGTTCACGCGGCAAGAAAATAAAATAATAAAATTAGTAAATTAAATTACTTCAACAATTAACGGTTAGGACAGTTCCAAGTTTTATTTTATTTTATTATTTTTTATTAGTTTGTTATAGCAATCTAGTTTACACCAATAAGCTACTTCTCTTTAACCTAAACTACTAGATGTACATTTGCAAAGTGTTATCCTATGATATTAACTTCGGCTTTGTCATTGGAGTCACTATTTTAATGTGTACATATATAACTTCTACTTTGTTAAGAATCAACGATTAATTCCATGCACTAGTTGATAGGGTTTCACTCGATTTAGTCTTCTTGTTAAGCCATCGTTGTTCAAGAGCTGGATGGCCTCGACGTTGATGTGATTTTGTAGTCTTTGTTCATCACTTTTTGCACAATTTTTTATTACATTGTCCACTGTTTGCACATTTAGATCTTTATGGAGGTTGTCATTCCGGATGTACCATGGCGCACCTACGATGCCGCGTAGAACTTTATTTTGATAACGTTGTATAATATTTCTGGTGCTTTGGCTGGTACAACCCCAGAGTTAACTACCATAACTCCACACCGGCTTGTGGACTTGGTGATACAGCAAGAGTTTATTATACACTGGCAGGGCAGAATTACGACCTAATAGCCAGTACATTTTTCGGTATTTTAAATTTAATTCTTTTTGTTTTTTCTTGACATGGGCCTTCCACCTAAGTTTAGCATCCAGCGTCATGCCAAGATATTTAGCTGTATTTTGGTATGGTTCCTTGAGGATCTGACCAGTGATTAAGCCAAATCCCAGAGCCTTCTTTGGATTTATGTTTTGTTTGATTTCTCTTTTTACCTCCGCTACTGTGGTTAATGGAATCTCTTCACTTTCCTGGTAATTTATAGTGGGTAGAGCCGCAGTACTGTCTGTTGGATTTGGTTGAAAGATTTTGTCAAGGTGTTCGGCAAATCTAAATGCTTTCTGCTCATTATTTCTAGCCCAGCTGCCGTCTATGTTTCTGATGGGGGGTATTGGCATGATGGGAGTTTTTACATTTTTTGTTGTTTTCCATAGTGAATAATCAGTATTGGCATCATTTGTTAGTTTTTTCAAATATTCACTAATGGTATCATTCTTAAGCTGCTTAATTTCTTTTAATTGAGCGGTGAGCTTATTTAAAATAGTTTTATCTTGCGGGGATCTGGTGTGTTGCCATTTTTTCTTTGCCTTTCGCTTTTGTGCAATCAATTCTAAAATTTCTCTAGGATAGTTATTACCTTTCAATTTCCTTCTAATTTCAGGCGTGTTTTTCCATGAAGATTTTTGAATGTCATTGACGAACTTCTCCACTTCAGTATACAATTGTTCCTTAGTTTGTAGTGGGGTTACTAATTTTATTTTTTCTTCTAAGGTTAACCTAAAGCCCTCCCAATTTGTTTTTTATTGACTAGCATGGGATTGCAGAAGTTTTCGACGATATTTTCACTTAAGGTTAAAAGTATTGGGGTATGGTCTGAAATTAGCTCCGAGTTGTCTTCTATTAGTATATAGTTGCAAGATATGTTTTTGATGATGTAAAGATCTAACAAATCAGGAATTTAGTCAGGATCTGTGGGCCAATAGGTTGGTCGTCCCGTTGATATTGCCTCGCACTTGCATTTTTGCATTGCCTTCAGTAGTTCCCTTCCTTTCGTTGTTATCAGTCTTGATCCCCATTGGGTGTGTTTTGCATTATAGTCACCTCCTATGATGAATCTACTTCCAATCGCGTTGTGTTTCGGTGGACTATAAAGGCTTGCTATTGTTATGTCAAAGTTTTTAGTTTTTAGATTCACTGCAGTAGCTTGAATATATTCAGATTCATTATTTGTCTGTTCATAATGATGGATGCTTTCCTTTACTATTACCACACTTCCTCCCTTTGCTTCATTGTTGGGGTGAATGGTGTGGTATACTTTGTAACCCTTTATTTTGATGAAGGATTGCTTGGTGAAATGAGTTTCTGAGATCAGACACACGTCAATTTTATTTATGTCCAGGATTACTTGAAGTTCTTCTTGACGCTTGAGCAATCCATTTGCATTCCAACACATGATTTTTAGTGTATTAGCCATTTTATTACATTTTGAGTTTTTTTAATTTAATTAGAAGTTTTATTAGCACTGCTCTCTAGTTTGCAAATTCGTTGTTTCATGCCAGAAAGCGTACCCTCTAGGTTAGTTATTTTGTTGAGGATCAATTGTAGGGTTTGGTTGGCATAGTTATTTCCAGGCTTATGTTTTTCTTGACGGTCATCTACCTGCCGAGTTATCGAGGCATATGTTTGTCCATTATTACGATTACCATCGTAGTTCACTTTTTCTTGTTGTGTCACCATTTTTTTTCATTATGATTTTTAACTGGTTTGGTTTCGGTGAGTTTTTAATTTTTAATTTTTTGTAGCTCCTTTGCTACAACACATCCCCTGTAGTTGGCTGGATGGCCTTCTCCACAGTTCACACATTTCGGGACTTGACTTTTCGACTTATCACATTCAGGTGTTATGTGCCTGCCAGCACATTTAACACATCTCGGTTCCTTTGAGCAGAATTTCTGGGTGTGTTCATATGCCTGACATTTTTTGCATTGGGGGATCAGTTTTGATGCCTTCGTTGCCTCAGTCTCTACTTTACATCCAAGTATGTGTGTAATTTTATGAATTTTTTCAATGCTTTCGCTGTTTTCGAAAGGTAACATAAACATGTTTAAAGGCCTTTTCTCTTTCCATGTCAGCTTGTTGTTTGCCATGATAATTTGGAAACCTTTTTTTACTAGGAAATGTATAATGTTTTCTGGTTTACATGTATGATGTAGGATGTTACATGTATGATGTTTTTTGCCATAACACGAATTGGTCGCGTTTGCTTGTTTTCATATGTATGAAATTTAAGTTCACTAGCTGTTAACATCCTAATTATGTTTCTATAGCTTTCTGCATTGGAACAATTAATTTTAGCTGATGTGTCGTTAGTGAATTTCACTTGAAAGTCGGTTTTCGTAACTTGTTTTACTAGTTCCGCGTATAAAACTTCATAGGACTCTACATTTTCCACYATGATAGGGGGTGGCTTAGGTTCCTTTCTAGTTTCTTGCTCTGCTTGATTGGCAGTCTCTTTCTCGATAATTAAGGGAGATTTTGGCAAATTTATTACATTCAATTTTCGTTTTTTGGTTCTGTGCTTTGCTCTAATCCACTCAGTTTCTTTTGCCAGTTCTTCATCATCCATATGGTATTCGGTTTCCTTGCTTGTCGATGGTGGATTGGCGGCAGGACTTGTAAACGTCAGCTTCGGATCGACATTCGAGTTGTTTGCTTCCTTGAGTAGTTGGACCTCCTTTTGAAGCATATTTATGTTTACTTGCATATTGGTTATTATAGCATTGTAGTTCGCTTTATCAGCTTGCCATGCATGCCATAAATTTGATTCACCCTGCGTTTGCGGCATAAAATCTTTCGCCACTGCTGGCGATTCTTTAAGTTTGCGCACTAGTACGTCACGTTTACTAGTCATTATTCATTCTTCACATTCTTCGAATTCAGTAAAGTTTCCAATGCTCATTGATGTTTCAAGCAATATATTTTGTAGCCAGAAGCACTTGTTCGGTCAAATATTTCACTGACCGATGGAATCTAGAAAGTTTTTATCAAAACTGCCACCAAATAGCTCACAATCGCCGGTTTGAAAACACGTCTGTACGCGACGGTGTATACGACGAAAACTGTTCCAAATTAACTTTAATTTCTCAATAGATCTGTCGATTACAGCTTCGGGCTAACCGTGTGACTGATTGACCTGTAAAATTCAATAATTAACAAACACACCAATATGGTGTCGTACAATTTTATATGCCAACAACAAACAATAAATTGTTACAAATAAACGAATAAGTTTATTTGTCGTTGCAATTACGTCCTTTTGCGATAATGTGAGAGCACTGAAAAGTAGTTCCAGCGTTGTCTAATGATCGATTTATCTTTTTCTATTATTACTATTTTAAATAAATGTCCTTTATAATACAGGACTTAACGCACATATTGACACAATGCATAATTTTTAAAAACCTGATTCCCGTAAGAGCTGACCGATAAATTCTGGCCAAGTCCAGTTTTCGATACCCAAAACAGCTATACTTAATGTATACTGCTTACCCGAGTTTACACATGAATGTAGTTTAGTCTTCGCAATGCAGCCTTATCTTTGTCTTGATTACTACTACAGTTCTGTAAATGTTCTGAAATTCCGTTCAACTTGATTCAACGTATTTCCAATAATCCTTTCATGTATCACTTTTGATTTTTGGCTCTCGAAGTGAAGTGAGTGTAATAAACATTGCAGTGTGCTTGTCATTGCGTTAACGCTTTTGTGTATTACATAAGTTTACATATAAATTCCACATTCATCTAGTTTACGTTTTATTTAATTTGGCCCCCCGGTTCAGTCGACATTTATTGGATGACAGAAACGGACATGTGAATTTAGTATGTATAATAAAACAATTCACCTGATATGGCAATGTGCAATAAAGATTCCGTATCAGCAGATTCGAATAGTTTCCACGTTTCAGTACAAGAAGTTATACTGAGCAGAAAAGTCAAATCTGAAAACATACAAATTTTATAGAACATTTTTTGAGTTTACTTGTCATGTCAGACCCACACCTCTTTTCAAATTAATTGCGGACCAAGCAAAAAGATGAGTGTTGACACCGCCGTGTTTGAGAATCTCCCGTTTGGCATAAACTAGATAATCTTCGATTTTAGACTTTATAGGTTCATACTCTTCCACGACATAATTCCTGTCAATAACTATAGCTGCAAAAATGAGAACTTACATTTAGGAACTAAAATGTACCCTGACATGATTAATAATATCATAATTCTCAATTCCAATAAGACCTATAAGAAAGTCACTGATTAACTGACTAGCAAATTAATAAATAAGTGGTCCAAGATATTTATGGGAGCATCAGAAGCAAAATATTAATTCTTGTTAACAATATTTTATGTCTTACCAATAGATGCATTTGTCGTCAATAAAGATGGAAATATATCACTGTTAGTTACTTTGCAAAAGACACCCAAACAAATCACCAAACGCACCCACATGATTGGGACTACTCATTCATATTCACTTAATTCCCGAATTTTATTCCACGCGATACAAAACGCATGCTGCTCGGAAATGAAATAATAATAAATCAGTGAATTGAATTATACAACATTCATAGCAGCAGCTGTGCAATACGAAAAGCAATGAAATGGATTTTCTCGCACGGTCGACTTCGGCTGGCTCGCTATTGGAACAAACAGAAATATTGGATTTAATAAATTAATGAGGTTTGTTGGAGTCGAGGATCGGTTTCTTAAGTAGCATCGATTGAATAATATGGAACGCGGTTGTGAGTTTCACACACCTGTAGTGGTATTAATATAACAGAAACTTCAAATTCGGTAGTACCTAATAAGGGAATGAATACGAAAATGTCTTTGGGCTGATATTTCTATAAAATTTGTTATCAGAATGCATTCAGTTATAGCAAACGTACCGCTGCTGCTTTGTTGATAAATTTGAAAGACTTCTAATGTTTATATTAATTAACTGAGTTTGATGTATTTTATTAAAATTGGTAGTTTATCTGTCTTCAATAACGTTTCGCTACCATTTTTTGCGCAATAAATGTGCTTTTCTTGTTTTTTTTTATGTATTAAATCCTTTTCTTCAACCAATCTGCAAAATTTGTATTAATTGTCCAGTGATTTACATATGCATTTTTTTATAAAACTGAAAAGTGACCAAATCCAACGGGGGAAATTAACCCTTTGTGGCCGAAAAACAATTTTAAAAAGAAAAATGCGTTCAAATTAGTGAAAATCAGTGTATTCTTCTTCCATATACATATAAAAATTAACAAAATTTTTTAGTTCTTGCTTATTTTTTGTAAAAACGGGGGTAAGCTAATTCGTGGAATGTTTAAATGTAATTTATTTCGCAATTGATGCAAAGTGGCACATTGCAGGCTGTACGTGTCCACATTGTTCTCCGCTGTTGCGTTTTGCTGCTACATTGATTACATCTCCTGTAAGTACAATTGTATGATCATTTATGGTAACGTATATTTTATATATCCATATATGGTGCTGAGTATAGAAATGCATATTCAGCAGTAGACTAATCATATAAATAGGAAGCCCGTGGAAGTCATTAAGTATTGTCCATCCTACACGCTTGTAACTTCTGTAATAAAAGTTATTAAAAACAGAAGTTATTGTAAAGCAAATAAAATGGACGCAGTCGGTAGATTTCTTTCGGAGTGCGTTTTGCCAACTGATATAGTAGGTCTTTCGGAGTGCGTTTTTTTCAACTAATCAGTAGCAGCCTGGAGCAGCAAGAACCACTACCCTCTGTTTAAACCGTCAAGAAAGGACCAAAGACAACCCGGACGAAACAGCTTGTGACTCCTGACAACTCTTTGCCTCTGGAAACCGATCCCCAATGAGGAAGTCAGCGGGACATTTGTAACGGTTAAAAATGGAATTTAGCAAGTGGTTCACCTGTCTGCTAACCCGTTGTTCAAATTTATGTAGTAATAAGTTATAATTGTAATAAGCTATTGTTGTCGACCGATTTTCGTTTGTAATTTGGATATAGTAGGCATGTTTGTCAGATTAGGTTAGTAATATTTCGGGGATTATTTGAATGTTGATGTTGAGATATTTGTATCTCTCTCCCAAACATCAGCAGTCTTTATCATGGGTTTGTCTGGCAAAGTGGTGGCTGCCCCACCACCGTTATTGATGAGAAAGAACGAGGAATGGACTTGGCAGGGTCAGCCCGCGAAGGGGAATCAAGTACCAATTATAGTAGAGAACAGCCGATCGTTCCTCCCAGATCAACCGGAATCAAGTACGATAAATTGCCGAAGATAGTCGATCACCGTCAGCTTGATCACCGAGTCCGCCATATTCTGCTGTATGGTAGATCTGCCCGCTACTTGACCATCCGTTTGGGGACATCAGCCGCCTATTGGTTTCCGACTGGGGATATTGTGTCACGGAGATTGTGGATTGGATAGCCAGGGACGGTGTGGATGAGATCTGGATCTAACTCGTAGGCATCGACAGCACGTGGTGGCGACTTCGTAGACTCGCTGGTGTTTGGGACGAGTATTGCTACTGGTTGTATATTATCAATTTGTATTTTCTGGAAATTTTTATTTAATTAAGTAATTAACGTAAAGTATAGATCAAACGGTTACCAAACGGTAGTTTGTGCTCGTCAAACCACGTTTTATTGTTCGTTATTAAGATAACCATTTTCCTTTTTTTTATATCATCATTCAAGTCAGTTTATGTACTATCACGGTAAAAGAATTGCGTAGGTATTTCGGCACCATTCCATCGCTGAGTGTTCTAGCTTTCTGCGAAAGCTAGTGGCCCTCAAACAAACTCACCCTACGGGCTTTGCACACGACCGCCCGAAATACCCGGTCAAGGAAAACCTTTCTTTCTCTCTCTCTCTCTCTCTCTATTAAATTGTCGTTAAAAATCATTGTTCATAAATCATTGTCATTTATTTAAATAATTGCCTGAATTAAATAGTTTTCATTAAAGGTTGATTTTTATTCTTCGGGCTTTGCACACGACCGCCCGAACTACCAGGTCAAGGGAAACCTTTCTTTCTCTCTCTCTCTCTCTCTCTCTATTAAATTGTCGTTAAAAATCATTGTTCATAAATCATTGTCATTTATTTAAATAATTTCCTGAATTAAATAGTTTTCATTAAAGGTTGATTTTTATTCTTTTGTTCTGTAGGAAATTTATCGTGTTGCACATTTTGGCTCTACACTAGTGTCCACTACAGACGACAGTCTACCTGGATAGTGTATCTATTCCGCAACTGTGCCGATTGATACAGGACAAAAGCTAGAGACAATTTGCAAGTCGGTTGTTTTTAGTAGTAGGACACCTGTTAGTTAAGACATTTTCAAATCAAATGAAAAGTGAATAAAAAAATTCAAGAAAACAACTTCTGCGTATATAGGCAATCCCAAACGTAGATCAATAACTAGGAATACTAGCGATAACTCTAACAAAAGCGATTAGAATTATTAAAATTAATATTCAGATATTTCCAGGATATTTCTATATTATTTGAAGAAACTAGTAATAACTCTAATTTTAAGAACTCTATAACAATGGCGGACACTCTAAGATCCACTGTTACACTTTTAAAAACGTTCGATGAAACTCCATCAAGACATTCTTCAAGTGGACATTTTTCATATTATATATTTAGGTGACGATCAATCGCAATTTGAATATATGTGATAGCAATTAAGTAAAAAATTATAGGTTCAGCCGAAGATTTCATATTAACAAGACCAGATCTAACAACCTTGCCAGAACTCAGATCAGCGCTCAAACAAATCTTTAACGACCCAATCTCAAAAGCGAACTTGCAACAGCAACTAATATTTTTGTCAAAAAGTAATGAGTCTACACAAGACTATATTCAAAAACTTAAAGCTTTAATAACACAAATTGACACAAATATATGTAAGTAACCAATGCTGAAGCAGGAACTACTTTAATTGCACAGAATGAGTTAACGGCAACTAAAAATTTTTTCGCTAATATTTCTGCGAGCTAATAACTTTATTGATTGTGCGAAAGCCACAAAATCTAGATACAGCTATTGGTATTACAAAATACTGACTAGTCAAAGTTCTTTTAAAAATAACTTTTGGCACAAGCAAGTTGGATCAAAATGCAAAACGTCCAAATTCTTTTCTTCGAAAACAATTTTCTAACCCATTTACTCTAAATCCGGTTGTAAATCAACCTTTTCAAATCAAACAAAATTAACCTTTCCAATTCAAACAAAATCAACCTTTTCACTTGAGACAAAATCAATCTTTCTACTGGAAACACAATCAACCTTTTCAAGGAAGACAAAATCAATCGTTCCTGTTCAGACAAAACCAACCTTTGCAACGTAAACCAAATAATTCCTTCCAGTGGATCCAAAATCAGCCCTCTAAATCTGAGCAAAGAAATAATCAATTTCCAAGACCAATGTCTAGAGTTAGTACAATTCCATTCCACCGAAATCAACCACAAAGACCGTTTCAATCCCAAACCAAGATGAATCACCAACTTATGATCAATGTGAAGAGTAAGAATACCCTGAAGAATCCACCATTTCAGAAGAAACACCTGAACAATTGGAAAATTTTGTAATGCTTACTTGAAATCAAAACAATGGATAAATTTGAATAGTTATCAGACTAATCAATTACCATTCATTGAAGTTCCCAATTATAACATTCGTTTATTAATAGATACTGGATCCCATGCATCTCTGCTTAGACCTTCATTAGCCGAATCCTTTTTTCCAAACTATATTAAACACCATGCAAGCATACTTCAGACTTTGCCGGTTCAAAAAAAGCAACAACTAGAGCGACTATACCTTTATTCTTATGCTATTGTATTTCTAAACCCATTGAATTTATACTTTTCTCTTTTCATGAATATTTTTACGATATTCTAGGAATAAAAGACATCTATCAACTAAACGTAATCATCGATTTAAAAAATCAACAATTAAAGAATCCGTATCTCGAAATCCCGTTCAATTATAGGCAAGATTTCCAAGAATACAAAATAGAATTTCCTCCGAAAACTATAACAAAAACACATTTTAAAACAAACTTACCCAATAATAGCACATGGATAAAATCCCATTATAAAGGCAATGAAATCGAAATACACTCGACATTAATAACAGTAAAAAACAACAGCTATAAAGTCGATGTTATAAATCATTCTGATCAGCACATATTGATGACGTGCAATATACAGGGTGATTCAAAATTGGCTTATTGGGAGATTACGTGCAAATTATTTAAACATTTTTTTTTTGATAATTCGTAGAAGATATTAGCAGGTGAAAATCGAATTTTATTAAGCATTATTTTCAAAGTGTTCCATGTTTCATTGGAATACTTAAGAATTCGGAAAGAAAAATTACGATCTTTTTCTCAAATTACGAAAAATTTTTATATTAAAAAAGCTCTCTTCTACAATTTTTTGATGAAAAGTCAAAGCGGCAATGATTTTTTTTGTCATTAACAGATAGTTACACGTGGATAGCACTTGTCAATAACTACGAAAATTTGTCAACCTGTGACTTGCTTTGAATTTGCGTTCACGAATTTGCAGATAGGCGATTAGTTCAGGGAAAATGCAACAGAAACATGGCA